AGAGATTTTTACTGAGACTTTTACAGGGACGCATTGCAGTGAATGTCCTATACATCTGATGGTCCTCTAATGGCGATGGAGATTTACTGGCCCATAGATAAGACAAATTGAGACTTTATGAAAGGCACAATTTTCTGAAGTCACTTAGGGCTGATTTCATGAGAGTGCTATTTGTACATTCTCAAGCTTGCTATTTAAAGAGAATTGTTCAGTTTTGACAAAATTATTCTGAACATGAACAATTTTCCTCCTATTATATTATGTCTCATTTTCAGCTGCTCTGTAGCATTCTTCTTCATGCACTCTCTCTTCTCTTGCTCTCTCTTTCTTAGTCCTCCCTAAATGCCAGAGACAGAAGGCTATGCAGGGGAGGCGGTAAATTTGCTAAGGGTAATCTGAATTAGATTCAAGAGCCAGCATGGAGAGCTCTTCTGGGTTGCCCCAGCACCAGGTTGCTGTAACTGCCCACATGCCTGGGACAGCTGAGCACCACTCCTGCTTAGCTGAGAGGCCCAGATTGGAACAGGGTGGCTATTGTGAGTGCCTGTCTCTCAACACTCCAGTCCTGTTTGTTTGTCCTCTATGACTGCTTTTGTTTTAATGTATAGTTTCTGGAGACAGGTATAGTTTTAATGGAGAGCTTTGCACATGTCATCCTTGGGATGCAGATCATTTCCTTTCTGGGGAGGAGGGGCTGCTCCCTTAGCCTCTACCATTTTTCTACCCTAAGGGGGCAGAAGGGGTGTGAAGCCTGTAATTGCTCCAAGACACCTTGAAAATATCTGCTCCCTTTGTGGGCCTCAAGTGGCAGTTGCCATGACTGTAGTGGTTTCATTGTACCAAAGCTAAAGACATTAAGAAGAAAAGAGATAAACATATTTTTAAGGAAAGTGGAAAGAAGACCTGCTATAGTCTGTTCCTTGAGCATGGTAGACAGATTGACAAGATATCAGAAAACCTGGAAATCAGATGGGCATTAATAATCCCCACCGTAGACAAACGCCCACTTTGTGAAACTTACTTCATCCTCCTGACACTAAGGAGGTCTATGCTATTCTACGTTCTGGACACCTGAATCTTGTAATACATTAGGAAGAACACAGATATGGAAGTCACTGGCTGTGTGACCTTGGGCAAGTCACTAGATTTCCCTGGGCCTCAGTTCCTAGTTAGGCTAGAATATCTCTCAAGTCTTTTTTTAGTTCTGGAGTAAGTAGATTGATCTTTAAGACAGAGAAACCCAAATATATAAAACTCTTTATGAACCCGCCATCATTATTCCATGGTACCAAGGAATGGTACCATTTGTCAAATGGGGAATTGTTATTTATGACCCCTCACATGTCAGGTTCTGTGCTAGGTCCTGGGATGCAGCGATCAATACCATAGGCCCTGCCTTTGTGAAGTCAATTGTGGTAAACTTGGGTAGTGGTGGTGATTTTAAACTTTAATTTTTAGAACAATTTTAGAGTTATAGAAAAACTGAGACTGGAGGTGTGGCTCAAGTGATAGAGCACCTACTTTGCAAGCATGAGGCCCTGAGTTTATACCCTGGTCCCACCAAAAAGAAAAACTAAGGAGGTAGTACAGAACATTGCTATATACCTCACTAGGTCTTCCTATGGTTGACATACATTGTACCATATAAATTTCTTACAATTGATGAACCAATATTGATGCATTATTATAAGTTAATCCCCTGGTTTAGTCCATCAGATCGTCTTGATTTTTACCAAATTTCTTTTTTTTTTTTTTTTCTGTTTCAGGACACTGTGGTGCACTTAATGATTCTATAAAGTTGTAGTATATATACTATCAACACAACTCACCATGTTGATGTTGACCTTGATCACTCAGCTGAGGTGGTGCTTGTCAGGATTCTCTATTGTAAAATCACTCTTTTCCCCTTTTCATGCTGTCTGTCCTCTTTAGAAGGAAGATACTGCACTACCTACATTCAAGGACTAGGGACTCCTTTAACAGAGAGTCCCCTCAAACAAGAAATCCATCTAAATTATTTGGGATTCTTCTATCATTTTTTCAATCATTTATTTCTGTCTGTTTGGATTCACATATATTTATTTTATGCTTTGGTTTATAACACAACACTACTTTATTTCATGCTCAGTTTTTTCTAACTTTGCTCACTGGGAGCCTTTCATTTGGCTCCTGTGTCTCTTTGACATACCCCCATCAATGTAAGGCTTTCTGGTTTCTTTGAACATTTCCTTATTTTCTGACACTAAAGGTGTTCATACTTCATATTTTCTACCATGGTCCTGGAATTAATCACTTTTCCAATGAGCACTAGTTATTTTTATTGGACAAAGATATGAGAAACCAAGATCTAGGAGTTAGGTCCTGATTGCCATTAGGGTTGTTGGAGTTATTTTTAAATGGTAATTTCTTCAGATTATAAAATTAATCCATGTACATGATAAAAATTATTAAAAATTACAGAAATATGTGTAGATAAAAATGAATTTAGTGGAAATAGTTACTACTTGTTATCACATAAAGTAGACTTTTTGCTTTTTATCCTCCTTGGATTTACACAGCCAGAACTGGAGTAACAGATTGGGGAGAATAAAAATAGAGCTGCTTTTGTTACATAGAAATGTGTAAGAAGGTGATAATACAAATTGCATTGTCAGTCATTGCCCCAGTAGCACTCAAAGTTTGGAAGTTCTTCTTGCTTCCAAATTTTGGAAGAGAGGAAGTAAATGGAAACTTGGAGGTCATCTGGTCAATGTAAACAAGCACAGTGGTTCTGTAAGCAGGGACTGTGGCTCACCCAAAGCCATACCACAAGGTAGTTATAGAACCTGGCCTGAACTTAATGCCAGGGACCTGATTCTAATACAAGTACATTTTGTATTTTGCTTTTCAGTGTAATAAATATTATGACTTGTATTAGTATACACCACGAACTAAGGGAACTGACTTGAGGTTGGACAACTTAGACTTGCATTTTAGTTCCACCATCTATTGCTGTGGGATATTAGGCAAAGTTCTCTGAGCCTTAGATTCTTTATCTGGAGTAATAATAGCAATAGTTACAACTGTACAGTATTTACTATGTTCCAGACACTGTGTTAAATACTTTCCATACATTTAACTCATTCACTCTTCACAACAACTTTATGAACTAGGTATGATAATTATCCAGATTTTATAGTGGAGGACACCAACATCTAGAAAAATAAAATAACTTGTCAGTGATCCCACAACTGACAAGTAGCAGAGTCCTGCTTTGAGGCCAATCTGATTCTAGAGCTTATTCTAACCATTACATGAGACTTCTTTATCTTAATAATGAAAATAATTATTTTTCCTATCTTGAAGGATCATAATGAAAATTAAATGGGAACATACATGGAAAACACTCAGACTGTGCTTACCATGCATTACCTTTCAACAATGCCAGCTGACCTTGTTATTGCCACTTCTGTTGTCCTTGAGCACCTGTGATTCTCTGTATGGTATCAAATCAGTCACTTCTCTGAGGAAGTGACAATATGATGTGTGTGGCTATCTGTAAGTTGCTTTCAGTATAATTGTAAGGGAATGTGAATACATGCAAAATTATTTGACACCATTAATATTCTCCTTTGTGAAGTGAAACTACTTGTTACCAGAGTTCTGATTGAAACAAGTCCAAGTAATCCCACAATGCCTTGCAGCTCTCACAGTCTTTTTTGGTCCTTCAGTTATGGATTCTTAGCCAGGCACTGATGGCTCACGCCTGTAATCCTAGGTACTTAGGAGGCTGAGAATGGGAGGATCAAAATTTCAACCAGCCCAGGCAAAAAGTTCACAAAACTCCATTTCAATGGAAAGAGCTGGGCATGGGGGCATGTGCCTGTCATCCAGCTATAGCAGAAAGCTTAAAATAGGAGGATCATGGTCCAAGTTGACCTGGACAAAGAAGACTCTATCACAAAATAACCCAACAGAAAAGGGATGAAGGTATGGCTCAAGCAGTATAGTTCCTGCCTATCAAGCTCAAAAGCCCCAGGGCCTTGCACATGCTAGGCAAGAACTCTTATCAATGCACTACCTCCCTAGCCTTCTTTTACACTTTTACTCCATTGTTTTCTGACCTTCCTCTCCTCTTGTCATCCCCTGAGAAAGGTGTTGCCTGAGAAAAGTCAGTAAGTTTCTAGTGTGTGTTCTACATGAAGAAATATTTGTCTAGTCCCTTCTTGGCCTGAATCAGAAACGGAATTTTCCCTGCTGACCCTTTGGCTAGAGCTTGGAGGACAGATAATAGACTGTGGTTACAAAGAGATGTTGGAGATTAAGGCTTCTGGCCTGACAGCACAGGATAGGGCCAAGAGAGTGGATTCTGAAATGAGGCAGGAACAGGCCAAGGGAACTAGGGAGCCCCAGGGGGAAGCTAAAAGGCCACACTCCATGTGACTATTAACTCCTCCAAGCCTTCTAATCAGATTTTCTCTAGAACTTCAGGCTATTGAAGGAATTGGTGGAACCAATTCCTTTCTTCCAGAGCTCTGACCAGTGAAATTTCAGAACTCCTCAGTGTGACCCCATGACAGCATCCAAGCTGGACTGCAACTAGTCCTGAGAGTGGAGTCTTGGATTTCAGTCACCACTGTGTTCAGCATCCTGCACAAGGCCTGAGGACATAGAAAGTACGACGTGGGGAAAGCAATGAGGTTCAGAATCACAAAGATAAAAGATTTATGACTCCTCTAAGCCAAGTGCCAGTAAGCAAGTGACTTAAAACCTGTTTTTCACTTAAAACCCGCTATAAATGGCAGCATGGAGAAATTCGCCCCTGCTTTGTAGGCTTCAGTGATCAGTGTAAAATGACGTAGATGTGCTCCTGCTATAGTTGGTTGCTATGGCTGGTGAATGGGGTAAGTGAAGTGAAGTGCAGGGAAACCTCCAGACCATAGAGTTGAGTTCCTAGCTAGGCCCCCGGGGTCACTTCCGCTCGCCCGCCTAAAACCGCGCCTGCGCAGAGCCTTTCTTCCTCTCTGGCTCGGCCCTCCATCGCAGCGACATGGTGAGTGTTGGTCTTTCTGCGGCATAAATCTCTATCCATCCGCATCTCTTCTTTTCTCGGTTCTTCGCCCGCAGCGGCCTCTACCCGCCTGCCTTGTCCAGTGTCCTTTTCGGCCTTCGTTCCCTCGCCGCGCCTGGAGACTCCACCTTGGGACGCAGCCCAGGCGGCGAGGCGGGGGCGGTTTGCCGGGGCCTGGTCAGCGGGCCGGCGTTGTGCGGGCCCGCGGTGCACCTGGTCCCCCCGGACGCTGGTCTTGCGACGTTGACCTTGGGGAAAACTAAGTCTGGGGAGGCGCCGGGACCGGGGTCCCAACTGTAAATACCGCTGTTCTGTCCCTTTCCTCGGTGTTAACAGGCCAAACGCACCAAGAAGGTCGGGATCGTTGGTAAATACGGGACTCGCTATGGTGCCTCCCTCCGGAAAATGGTGAAGAAAATTGAAATCAGCCAGCACGCCAAGTACACCTGCTCCTTCTGTGGCAAAGTAAGATGGTCTCCGATAGGGGTGGGGGAGGCCTCTTTTAAGGGGGTTTGGAGACGCTGAGAGCTGGTGAGAACTGGGAATTGCGCACACTGTTGATCAGTTTTGAGGTAGGATTGTCGGTAACTTGAAAACCATTAGGGACTAAAAGAAAAATGATTGCGGGGGGCGGGGAGCCGCACCCGAAACTAGAAAATGAGTTTAACGGGTTGTTTTTACTGATGTTTCTGTGTCGGCGCCCAAGAGGTCTAGTTTGTGCTCCTAACATCCTACTGGGGTAGCAAGAGATTTCTTTAATAAGTGTTTGATTGTTTACCGTGCAAAAGTTGATTTTTCTCGGATGATTTACACTCCTGAAAACTTGAAAAGATTTTTGTGAAGTTTATGGTTAAAATTAATTTTCTTTTATAGACCAAGATGAAGAGACGGGCTGTGGGAATCTGGCATTGTGGTTCCTGCATGAAAACGGTGGCTGGTGGTGCCTGGACTTACAAGTGAGGGTTTTTTTTTTTTTTTTGGTGGTATTTGGAAATCCATGGATCATACAGATTTGGCACAGGATAGTTTAGTTTTTAAACCCTTGGAGAAGACTAGGAAAGTAAAGATACTTAGGCTTTTTCTTTCACCCGCTAAATTCTTCAGAGTTGGTTTACTTTTAGTTACTCAAATAATAGAAATGAAGCTACTGAAATAAAAATTGGCAGTCTTGTTCACATGTTTAGAATTTTATAGTCATTCGGTTGTTGTGAACCTTATGACGTTGTGCAAGTCCATTGGAGGGCTCTGAATTTGTACTCTTGACTTACACTGCAGGTTGTTTTTATAAAGATAGTTACAGAGGTCAGGATATGGAAAACAGGCCATTTGTACCACCACACTTTTGTCATTCTAAACAATATTGTTCACGGCATTGTGACTAGGACAGGGTTAAGTGATCTTGCTTATCTCAGCCTATCTGTTGCTTTGAGTCTTAACCTTACCCTGTTTGTGAAAAATTAAAGCCACCCTCTACGGTCTCTAATATTGTCCCTGAAGTCTTAGAATCTGCCTTCCTCCAGCCAGTGTTGTAGACATACGCTGTCCAACACCACTGGCACATAACATGGTGTGATGAAGGAGTTGATTTGTCTGTGTGTGCAGATTGAATCCAGAGCCTGTAAATCATAGGCAAGCACTCTACCACTATATCCCCAGCCCGGGAATTGCTTTTAAATTTAGTTTACACTTCAACTGACAACTGCAGAAGTTTGGGTAATGTTAAAATGATAACATAGGTGTATATTTAAGCACCTTTAGTTTTATAGTAGCAAAAGGGAAAATGGGCAAGGGTGCTCACCTCTCACAGTAAAGCAAGTGAACATTCATACATGTAGCATGCAGAGTAGTCACTTGATTTTTGGGTGTAGTCCCTGAATTTTGTGGTAAAACTTCCTTGTGCTGGGGATCAAACCCAGGGCCTTGCACTTGCTAGTACTCTTAACACTGAGCTACACCCAGCCCTTTGATAAACTTTGTCATTATCATTTAAGTCCTGACTTCTTAGAAAAGTTTGCTATCTTACTGTACCATGTTGATAAAAATAACTGGTTTACTCTGATCTACCCATTCTTTTGAATGAGTCTAGATCACCCTCTTGAGCAGTCAATCCTGTTTTAATGCTGTATGAGAAATCAGGTGAAGGGCTTGGGGATATCTCTCAAATGTTAGTGCTTGCCTGCTCAGCACAAAGCCCTGAGTTCAATCCCAGTGCCCTGAAAAAGAAAAACAGAAGCATGAGGTTGCTTTCTGGTTCTGTAAGAGCCTGAAGACATGGCTCTGAAAGGGTACTCTCATGGAGTTTATGAACCACTAACTTCTGAACAGTGGTCTTAAAATTTTAAGTCTTTTGAGTTAACTGTAGCAAAGTATTACTAGAGCAACCTGTCAGTATAATTCTTTCCAGGAGAAATTCAGAAAGACTAGGATTGTAAGTAGTAAGACATTTACTTGTTTCATAGGTTAACACACTTAGTTATTTTGGAAACTGCATTTTTCTTAACAGCACCACTTCAGCAGTCACAGTCAAGTCTGCCATCAGAAGACTGAAGGAATTAAAAGACCAGTAGAAGCTCTACCATTTGAGACATCCCTGGTTTACAATAAAATGGGTTAATTTATGTAACAAAATTGCCTTGGAGTCCTAATTTGATTTGGAAGTTTGGTGAGAGGGATTGTCATAATCTGGTCTCTTACAGGTCAGGTGTGTGTCCATTGATACATGTTGTACAAGATTGTGTTCTAAAGAAATACTTAAACTGCCTCTTAATGTTTTGTTTGACTACATTATACAGTCTGCAGAAACAGTTGCACAACAGGTTTTGCAGATGTTTGCCATCATCCATTTTTCAGTTTAAGCAAAAAGGTTTATAGGACTGAGTTCAAGTGAGTAACATGAAGTTTCTTGGAGGAATTTGAGTTACAATTAGTTCTATGATTATGTAACAGTATCCTTGATTTAGCACCTTTATTCTGTTTGTTTAAATCTGCCAATTTTGCCAGTTTCACTTAACCATGTCTAAGCCATCATCTTGTGTAGACCTTTCAGAAGCCTCCGAAGTGGTATTTATCATCTATTCCAAAGACTTATTTCTTACTGGTAAAAACATGACTTTCCTTTTCCTTTACTGGCTTTCTTGCTCTTAAGATGTTTGCCTTTATCTGTTCTCTAGTGCTGGCTCCAGAATAAATATCACCTGTGAGCAGTATTCCCTACTGGGTCAAGCTCTTGCTGGATTAGAATGTGGTTTCTTCTTTTGAGTTATTGTTTGAACAGCTTGGTTCATTATACTACTGAGTGTCCTCAGTACTTGGGACCATTCCTTGTACCTAGTAGGTACATTTGAATATCAGCAAATGTGATCTTGCTTTTATAACAAGTGATGCCTCTACTGTGGGGTTTTTTTTTTTTAAGCAAGGATTTTAGTGAATAAAGTATGGACAAGATATGGGGGAGGGAAAGAGAAACATTTCCTGTTCCCCATGCAGGAAATGGAAACAAAGACTCCCCATCTCTGTTCTTAACTGTATTAAGCTGCCTCATATCTGAGGGCTCAGTCCTTATTCGACTTCCCATTTTAACGATACCCATCTTGTGTTATTCTTACTGGCTTGTTTTTGCAGTGGGTTTTCTGAACCTTTGGTTCTGAGTCATTTAGTTGAACATTATATCAATGTTTTAAAATGAGAAAAGTGGTTTTTTTGCCCTCCAGAAACTATTTACTGCATTCTAAGTAAGATTAGTCTGAATGCAAGCTTTACTTGATCCCAGAAGTTCAAAACTAGCCTGGGTTCAAGATGAATCTCAAAAACCTGGTTTCCCTTTCCCCAGTCATTACTGGATTATATCATCTAAATCCAAAACAAGTTAATATTTCAATACAAAATCAAGAGAATGACATCAGTCAAAAAGAATCTTTGTTCCTTTTTAGACCAGAATTCCTGACTGGTATTCAGTTCAGTAAACAGACCTGTGTAGAAATTTCATATTATCTAGACAGGTTCTGGTTATACTTTGCCTATTGATTGGAAAGTTCTTTTTGAAAACTTGCATACATCAAAAAGCTTTGGACTTGATAGACTGTCCCTTAATTCCCCTGAAAAAGTACCATTTAATTTTCAGCTATATTTTACAGCATTAAAAAGTTTATGCATTAAGTGCTATCCAAAATGTTATTCTCTGCCCAATGATTGGCATTGAGCAGGCAAGAGTTCTTCATGCCACCCAGACTCAGTCATGTGTGAGAGCTTTATGGGCATTGTGTTCTTAACTATAAGTTAAGAGTTCCTCTCATTGTGTCCTAAATATTTGTATGGATGCAGCCAAAAAGTGCATCTTGTTTATTGCATGTTTTGTTCTAGGTGTGGAGATGGATATTGATATTTGATGGGGACTACAGATCAAGTTCTATAGTCAAGAACTGGAACTGAAGCCGGGTGCTGGTGGCTTAGTAATCCTAGCTACTTGGGAGGCAGAGATAAGGAGGTCGCTTTTTGAAGCCAGCTCGGCAAATGGTCCCAAATAGTCTGCGAGCCCTGTCTCAAAAAAATATCACAAAAAAGGGCTGGCAGAGTGGCTCAAGTGGTCAAGTGGTAGGAGCGCCTGCATAGCAAGCATGAGGCCCTGAGTTCAAACCCCAGTGCTGCAAAAAAAAAAAAAAAAGGACCTAATTAAGATTGGAAATACAGAAATAACAAGCAATTTTGAAATGTTGCAACCTGCACTCAGAAAGTTAAACAGTTTAATGTTACTGTCTTTGGGATACAAAGTCATTTTGTTATTGATTGCATTTTGGGCCAAAATCTGTGATAGGAAGGGAAACTGGTTGTATATGTGTGGGTACATCAGTCAACATGAGTCAGTGGTCAAACTTAACATCATGTCACAGTTGACTCTAGGTCTTGAGGGTAATGTAAGGAGAGAGAATGGTATGGCTAATAGCAAGGACCCATAGATGTTCTTGTGGGTTTTAGTAAACAAAAGGGATTAGCTGAAGGTGGATACCGTTCATAGGCCAGTGTATGTTGACTATCCTCTGTAGTATGAATTTGATTACTGTCCTAAAAGTACAGTTTAGCAGAGATGAAATAGCATGCCTTCTTAAACTTGAAAACTGGCTGTGGAAGGTTTATGGTAAGAGGCATTTCCAATCAAAATGATTTTTTTCCCTTCTAGAACTGCAAAATGTCTTTATAAAATTGGGGAGCTATTACATGTGGAAATGAGAGAAGAATAAGAAAACTGTAGTATAGTGGCTAAGATTGTGTGGTCTGGGGACTGGGAATGTAGCTCAGTTGGTAGAGTGTTTGTTTGCCTAGGCATGCAGAAGGCCCTGGGTTCAGCTCCCCAGCACTTAAAAAAAAAATAGTGGGCAGGTTTCTGGAGTGAAGTAGGAGTTCAAATTTCTTACTCTGTTACACTATAGCTGTGTCATCTTGGGTAAGGTAAGCCTTTTTTAAACTTTAGTTTTTTTTTTTTTTATTCTTAGTGGATCAAATTCAGGAAGTAGGTTATAATAATTTACTAATAGTTAAATTATAGAAAAAATCTGGACCAATAAGTTATAAGACACTTTACAAATTTTATCTGGTTTAGCAAAGAAGGAATTGGTATTTGATTCTATTTTATGTGACAAGCATTGTGCTAAATATCTCATCCTCAGCAAGAACATGCAAAACAGGCAATTTATCTTTCCATCCAGTTTACACACAGATTAAATACAAATATTCGTAGAGGAAATCATTCAGTCTCCAGTGCTGCAAATTAATTGTTTTTATTGTTGCAGTCTGCTTCCCTTATTAAATACATTGTGGTGGTGACATGAACTTCAGTTTTCTCATCTATAAAAAGGGTGTAATAGATTTTACCCCCAAACAAATTAAAATTGGATCTAGAGCACTCACAAGATCTAATGACCCTGGATCTTGGAAAGGAAAGAGAACTAATATTTTGGACCCACTGGTGCTGTGTTTTGGTGAAGGGTGTGTGAGGAGTGGTGTTTGAGGGCCAAGGTAGGAATTAGAGGAACGAGCAAACTTGAGTTGTATCAGGGAAAAGAAGAGGTTCAGGCTGAGGAAGCCTGGAATTCTTTTTTTTTTTTTCTTCGGTGGTAATGGAGTTTGAACTCAGGGCCTCATACTCTAGGCAAGCACTTTACCACTTGAACCACTCCACCAACCTGAAGCCTGGAATACTTTTGACCAGAAGGGAAAGGAACTGTCATTCCTAGTGACTTAAAACATAAAAGGTCCTAACTGCCAATACCATCACAATGGGAATTAAGTTTCAACTGGAGTTTTGGAGAGGACATTCAAACCACACCACTGGGAATTTGTTGTTAACCAGCATTTTTAATTAGTGGCCTATTCTGTCTTTGAGGGGGAGGGGCAGAGGCAGCATAGTTTTGAACTTGGGGTTGCACACTTGCTAGGCAGGCACTTTACCACTTGAGCCATGCTTCTAGCCTTTTTTGCTTTAGTTTTTGAATAGGGTCTCCTGTTAATGCCCAAGACCAGTCTACACTGTGATCCTATCTCCACGTCCCAAGTGGCTGGGATTACAGGAATCTACACCGTGCTTGCTCTGTAACCATTTCAAAAGTAGCTCTTGTTTGCTACTTTACCCTCTTCGTCTTATGAGTGTGCTCCCTTAACGTGACCTATTTTACATTCCTGTCCATTGTTTTAGTGCCTTGGTTCATTTTCCAGTGGGGTTTTGCCTTGGTATTTCACCTGTAAATATTGAACTTTAATCAGTATAACCCCCTCTATACTCTTCCTTACACATTTTTCCCTCTACCCTGTATTGTCCAACAGCATGTTTCATTGTGTCTCGTTCCTACACAGATGGTATGTATTTGTATTCACTTTCTGTCATTTTCTTCTTTCCTTCCTCCTGTAGTTTCCTCTAACAGTCCCATTATTGCAAACATGATAATGCTTGCCTTTGTATTTGGGTCTGTCTTCCACATAGGAGAGAAAACATATTCTGTCTTTCTGAACCTGACTTTACTTAACATAGTAATCTGAAGTTTCATCCACTTACCTGCAAATGACACAATTTCATTCTTTATGGCTGAATTCCATTACACACACGTGTATATGTGTATATACATACACATGTATATCTATTGTAGTTTATTAATCCATTCATTATATCATCTTAAGGGTAAACATGAGCCAGGTATTTAGCTCAGTGGTAGAGTGCCAGCTAACGTGTAAATCCCCAAGATTCAATCCTCATTGCTGCCAAAAAAAGTGTTCGAACTATATTACTGTATTTGTCTTAACTGCAGTATGTCTGCAGAATGCTTTATCCACTGTTGTGATATTCCCTGCAGTATTACAGTCTAACAGTAAAGAAGTGAAGGAATGGCAGCAGTAGGCTCACTGTCATGGAAATAATTTGTTTTTACTATGAACCCCAAACATCCAGACAGCTTGCTTTGTAGACTTAATGTTTTGCTAAAAGCTCATTTACAGCACCAGCTGGGAATTAGTTCACTGAGGATAAGGTACTGTCCTGCAGATACACTATGTACCTTAAATCTACCAGCATGTGGTGCTATACCACATCCAGGATTCAAGTGTCAAGAAACCAAGTGATGGAGATGGGACTCAACCCACTGAGA